TAACAGAGCGGCTAAAAGAGGTCAATATATCTGAAATGCGTAGGGAGACACTGGTCAGAGAAATAGCAAGCATCGAACTTAAGCTAAAGGAATCTTATAGGAGTCAGGAATCGCGGGAAGAACTAAAAGCCATTAATGAAATCGAAAGAAACCCAAAGTATTTCTTCTCCTATGCCAAATCAAAGTCGAGAACAACGTCCAGTATTGGGCCCCTACTTAAACAAGATGGGTCCTACACAGATGACAGCAAGGAAATGAGTGAGCTACTCAAGTCCCAATATGACTCAGTTTTTAGCAAGCCGCTAACCAGACTGAGAGTCAAAGATCAAAATTATTTTTTTATGAGAGAGCCACAGAATTTGGTTAACACAAGCCTATCCGATGTTATCCTGACGCCAAATGACTTCGAACAGGCGATAAATGACATGCCCACGCACTCTGCCCCAGGGCCAGACTCATGGAACTCCGTGTTCATCAAGAACTGCAAGAAGCCCCTATCACGAGCTTTTACCATCCTATGGAGAGGGAGCATGGATACGGGGGCCGTCCCACAGTTACTAAAAATAACAGACATAGCCCCACTCCACAAAGGGGGCAGTAAAGCAATAGCAAAGAACTACAGACCGATAGCACTAACATCCCACATCATAAAAATCTTTGAAAGGGTCCTAAGAAGCAAGATTACCGCCCATCTAGAAACCCATAAATTACACAACCCAGGGCAACATGGGTTTAGAACAGGTCGCTCCTGTCTGTCTCAACTATTGGGTCACTACGATAAGGTCCTAGATGCACTAGAAGACAAAAAGAATGCAGATGTAATATATACAGACTTTGCAAAAGCCTTCGACAAGTGTGACCATGGCGTAATAGCGCACAAAATGCGTGCTAAAGGAATAACAGGAAAAGTCGGTCGATGGATCTATAATTTCCTCACTAACAGAACACAGAGAGTAGTAGTCAACAGAGTAAAGTCCAAGGCAGCTACGGTGAAAAGCTCTATTCCACAAGGCACAGTACTCGCTCCCATCTTGTTCCTCATCCTCATATCTGACATAGACAAGGATATCAGCCACAGCATCGTGTCTTCCTTTGCAGATGACACCCGAATCTGCATGACTGTCTTCCATTGCAGACACTGCAAGGCTCCAGGCGGACATCAACCAAATCTTTCAGTGGGCTGCAAAAAACAATATGAAGTTCAACGATGAGAAATTTCAATTACTCAGATATGGTAAACATGAGGAAATTAAATCTTCATCAGAGTACAAAACAAATTCTGGCCACAAAATAGAGCGAAACACCAACGTCAAAGACCTGGGAGTGATCATGTCGGAGGATCTCACCTTCAAGGACCATAACATTATATCAATCGCATCTGCTAGAAAAATGACAGGATGGATAATGAGAACCTACAAAACTAGGGATGCCAAGCCCATGATGACACTCTTCAGGTCACTTGTTTTATCTAGGCTGGAATATTGCTGCACACTAACAGCACCTTTCAAGGCAGGTGAAATTGCTGACCTAGAAAATGTACAGAGAACCTTCACGGCGCGCATAACGGAGATAAAACACCTAAATTACTGGGAGCGCTTGAGGTTCCTGAACCTGTATTCCCTGGAACGCAGGCGGGAGAGATACATGATTATATACACCTGGAAAATCCTAGAGGAACTAGTACCGAACTTGCACACGAAAATCACTCACTACGAAAGCAAAAGACTTGGCAGACGACGCAACATCCCCCCAATGAAAAGCAGGGGTGTCATTAGCACGTTAAGAGACCATACAATAAGTGTCAGGGGCCAGAGACTGTTCAACTGCCTCCCAGCATACATAAGGGGGATTACCAACAGACCCCTGGCAGTCTTCAAGCTGGCACTGGACAAGCACCTAAAGTCGGTTCCTGATCAGCCGGGCTGTGGCTCGTACGTTGGTTTGCGTGCAGCCAGCAGTAACAGACTGGTTGATCAGGCTCTGATCCACCAGGAAGCTTGGTCACACACCGGGCCGCGGGGGCGTTGACCCCCGGAATTCTCTCCAGGAAAACTCCAGGTAAACTCCATGTAATATTCAGAAACTTATGTAATATATTAGGAATTAATATAAAAATTAAATTTTCGAAGGATTCAGTGGAAACAAAATTCAGTATTTATATGCACATATATTGTATGCACAACATATACAAATGCGCTATCAAACACAAAAAAAATATTAACTTCATGCACATTAAAAAAAAGTCCCTCCAGACATTTTTCACATACATATGATCAAGATTTCTTGGCCTCTAAGACATCAAAATTAGACATAAAGGTCAAATTTCGCTGAATAAAATCATTCAAAGAGTTTTCTGGTCATCATAATTACAGGAGGATCCTTGAACGGTCTTGGTGAAGCGGGAAGTGTCAACATTGATGCTCCTGAAGGCAGCTTCACACCGCTTCACGAACTTGTCTGCCAGACTTGGGGAGCGAGTGAAGATGAAAGCAAAGTCTGAGTGGTAATCAAAGTTGTAACTGATGCAGGAATATACACAGGCGAAGTTAGTGTAGTCAGTGTCCAGGATAATGTAGGGAGCTGCGAACGCTGGAAAAAATTATTAAATTATAACATCATAAATAATAAGATTAAAACATCTTGCAAGGATCAATTTCATACGCACATATATATATAATATATATATATATATATATATATATATATATATAATATATTATATATATATATATATATATATATATATATATATATTATATATATATATATATACGTACATAACATGTTATGCATTATCACATACCACGAGGCACCTCAAAATTTTTTGTCATGGTAAAGTTACAAGAATCTGCGACAACTTACAGTTCTCAAAGTCAATGGAGAGGTGAGGTTCACCCAGGGGGTTAGCGTAGACCTGACCGCTGCGCTTCAACAAACTGCCGTCAGCAGTGACACCAGTCGACGCAACATCAAACTGTTTTCCATCTGTCAAAATAAATTATCGTTATCGTTACTCGAAAATAACTTCCTACAGATCCATGTTGAGGTAAATTTGTGCCTAAACACCGTGTTTAGAATTTCTGGTCAGAAAACTTACCGAAGGTATATTCGTTGCGGACACATTTGTTGATAAGTTGATATGGGTTGTTAGTAAGTGCGAACTCGTACCATACACCAGCATACTGCAATGCAAGAAAAATAAACATTTTATATAAAATAAGGGCACAGAGAACCTTTATCATGAAAATACCATGAATTATATGAGCCCCCCTAGATTCAGTATTAACAAGAGTTACATTGATTTAGGAAAAGTTTCGCTCAATGGGGTTGGAATGAAAAGATCCTTGTGGGCGAAATGTTTCCTAAATTAATGTTCTAAGTGTTGTGTACGTTTCGTATTTTGCTGCGGACGAAATGTCTTGCGGATGAAATAGTCTTGTCGATAACAATGAGAACAAAAATATTAGAGGGCGAGTTGTTGTGGGGATAATGTACCGCTGTGTGTAGAGCTTTAGTAAGCTCTACACACAGCGATGACTCGAGAAAGTTCTTCACAACCCATTGACTCAATAAAGCTCTATACCGAGCGATGGCCCGATAAAGCTCTTCACAAACCAATGATTTAGAAAAGCTCTTCACAAACTGGTGACTCGATAAAACTCAACTTAGAGCAATACATAGTCAGTATTAAATCTAGTTTTCATGCAAATTTTTCACATGTTATTGGTGTTGTGAACGTTGTCGACGTCTTTGACGTGCATGATTCCTTTATATATTGTTGATGAATGCAAATAATTAATAAATTTAATTCATGATTTGAAACCTATTCATTCTTTATCTATGTCAATAATATTTGCTTTAGCTTTCTTGAGTAAATGGAAACATTATGCAAATGGGATGTTGTTTCATGCTCCTGAGATTGTTAACATAAGAACATGAGAAAGGAAGAACACTGCAGTAGTTCTACTGGCCCATACTAGGCGAGTCCTTCTCAAACCCAAACCCACCGACAAAAATATTTACCCAGCCAGTTGTATATAGTTCTACTGTCTACCAATTATGTCCTTGAATTTATATTGATAAAGCCACTGGATGGCTTTATCAATATAAATTAGACACATGTTGCACATGTGTCTAATTCTTCATAAATGGTAGAGATTCACAACATATGAATAACTCAGTGCAACTCTTGCCTCGACAAAGTGCAATATATCACTTTCTTAAGGTGCACCTTGAAGAATAATCTAAGTACTTTATACCTGAGGATGACTGATCAACGTGTTTACCGATCCTGACAGTGTCGATAAATCAGGCCAAGTTATGTCTAGACTGGCTTAATCTAGACATGAAAAATGGTATAAAATACTGACAATTTGATGAATAAGACACGTGTACAACAGTTGGGCATTTCTGCCATACCCGTTATCTTATATTTTGTTTTCAAGACAAAGAAAAGACAATAACAGAACTTACGTTGGCGTGGTTTGGGACTTGCTCTGACCACAGCTTGTTCTTGTCAACAGCAGGACACTGGCCGGGGACGACGAAGTCTGGGATCTTGTCAGCAGCGACGGCGGCCACGAGGACCAGCAGGATGGGCAGCGACTGCATGGTGTCAGGCTAGGGTAGGTTCTGGCTGGATAGGTCCCTCTCACCTCTCATTTATACATCCTCCAGATCAGGGTCATTCCAGCTACTCTCGGCTTTTGGTAGAAAATTATTACTGTAGCCCTTCCAGTACCAATTTGCACTACCAACTTTCGCTTATACAAAACCATATTTTCTTTCTCATAATTATATACGAATAAAGAATTTCAGTATGCAAAGATACTGTTGTTGTATACAAAAAAAAATAAAAGTGCCGGAAAGAAAGCTAAAAGAAATTATAACGTTATATGAATCTTCCACATGATCACAGAGACCGAGCGCCTCCCACTTTTTTTTGTGCATGAAGCAATCTATATAAGCAAAAGCACGAGTTTAAGTACCTCAGTGTGTGCGTAACTTTCGCCATGTATATTATAGTCATCAGTGCCGCCCTCCTGGCCTGTGTTGCCGCCGAGGGAATTCCTAGTTTCCTCAAACCTGGCAAATGTGCCTCAGTTGCTAATCAGGATAACTTCGACCTCAGAAAGGTTAGTGGAGGGTCATATTAAATTTATACATAAAAATCAAGAATGTTCATAACCTAGAGTTTACCTGGAGAGAGTTCTGGGGGTCAACGCCCCCGCGGCCCGGTCTGTGACCAGGCCTCCTGGTGGATCAGAGCCTGATCAACCAGGCTGTTACTGCTGGCTGCACGCAAACCAACGTACGAGCCACAGCCCGGCTGGTCAGGAACCGACTTTAGGTGCTTGTCCAGTGCCAGCTTGAAGACTGCCAGGGGTCTGTTGGTAATCATAATGTATAAGAAGTCTATTTTCTTACGAAATCTTAATGACACGATTGTAAACAAACCATACCACGGGTAGGGTTTGAACCCGCGGTCAGGTAGTATCAACCGCAGGTTTGAGATCTCTCACCGCGGGTTCAAACCCTACCCGTGGTATGGTTTATATCTATTTTCTATTTTTCTGATTGTGTACATTATTCTCTGTATTGCAGTATGCTGGGCGATGGTACCAGACCCACGTCATCGAGAACCCATACCAGCCAGTAACTCGCTGCGTCCACTCATACTTTGACTATTCCGAGAGTGACTACGGCTTCAAGGTGACCACCGCCGGCTTCAACCCCAGCGACGAGTACCTTCAGATGGACTTCAAGGTCTACCCAACTAAGGAGTTCCCAGCAGCTCACATGCTCATTGATGCTCCCTCGGGTAAGTGTATGGAGATAAACAATTTTTTGCAGATATTGCCGCATCTGGAATTAAATCCTCAAAATTATATCAAGGAATATTAAAATGGTATAAAATGACGACAAGTTGATAAGTCAGACACATACGCAACAGTTAGATATCTTTATTCGAAACGTTTCGCCCACACAGCAGGCTTCTTCAGTCGAGTACAGAAGAGTCTAGCAGAAGCAGTAGAGATGTGAAGACGATCAGAACTCTTCTCCAGGCTGAGGGACTAACCACATCAAAACTAGGTCTTCGTGGTTGATGGACTGATTACATCATCTTCACATCTCTACTGCTTCTGCTAAACTCTTTTATACTCGACCGAATAAGTCTAATGTGTAGGCGAAACGTTTCGAATAAAGACACCTAACTGTTGCATATATATATATATATATATATATAATATATATATATATATATATATATATATTATATATATAATATATATATATATATTATATATATATATATATATATAGTATATATATATATAATACATATATATATGTCGTGCCGAATAGGCAGAACTTTCGATCTTGGCTTAAATAGCAACGTTCATCTTGCCATATAGGACAAGTGAAAATTTGTGTATGCAATAATTTCGCCAAAATCATTCTGAACCTAACGAAAAAAATATATTTGATTGTGTTTGTTTAGTATTAAATTATTGTAAACAAATCTAAAATATATTTAGTTGGGTTAGGCTAAAATAAATTGTTCTTGTTATAATAAGGTTAGGTAAGTTTTCTAAGATTCTTTTGGTGCAAAATTAAAATTTTTTACATTAACATTAATGAAAGAAGTATATTTTTAAAAACGTTTAAGAGAAAATTTCAGAAAGGACTTAATTTTAATGGTTCTTGCTAATTGACCAGTTTTACATATTCGGCACGACATATTATATATATATATATATATATATATAAAATATATTTTTATATAAATATATATATATATATATATATTATATATATATATATATATATTTATATATGAGCGTGTTTGATAGGAGTGAATGGAGACAAATGGTTTTTATACTTGACGTGCTGTTGGAGTGTGAGCAAAGTAACATTTATGAAGGGATTCAGGGAAACCGGGGGGCCCGGGACTTGGTCCTGGAGAGGGGAAGTAACGTGCCTGCACTCTGAAGGAGGGGTGTTAATGTTGCAATTTTAAAAACTGTAGTGTAAAGCACCCTTCTGGAAAGGGACAGTGAGGGAGCGAATGATGGTGAAAGTTTTTCTTTTTCGGGCCACCTGCCTTGGTGGGAATCGGCCGGGTGAAAATAAAAAATAAAATAATATATATATATTTTATATATATTATATATATATATATATATATAATATATATTTTTAAATATTTAATATATATATATATATATTATATATATTTATATATATATATATATATATATATATATGAGAGAGAGAGGAGGGAAGTGTCTCTGATGTTAATTTGGTATCTTTTTAGAGTTCATAAAATAGTTCACTGTCAACGCCCACGAATTTTAGGTAACTCATATATGTGTATTGGTCTTGGTTTATTGGGGAAAAAGTAGAGAAGATTTTAAACTTGTTTTACGAGTTTTAATATTTATCGTGTTTTTATGAAGGAGAGAGAGAGAGAGAGGAGGGAGATAGGTAGGCTGGTAGATGTGTCTGTTGTGTATGAGTTTTGTAGTTGTCGTCACAACTACACTTCCATTATCGGTTGCTGTGACAATGAGACTCATCCCCGGCCAGTTAAGATAGGGAATGGCAGAGAGATAAAAAAAAAAAGGCTTACAATTACGTTTCGGTCCAACTTGGACCGAAATGTCTAACATTCCGTAGCTCGGTTTATGGGAGGAGAGGACCGGCGAAGGTTGTTGTTGATGAATGAGACACTTGTGCAACACTTGGGTTTCTTATTGTGGAAAAAATTTCGCTGTAAAGATACTCCAAATGTTGAAAAAAGTGTCTCATACACCAACTTATCAGTTTTCTAACCATTTATCTAACAGTTGATCAAGTCCGTCATCCCAAAGTCTGTCTAGTTATCACAGACAATCAACAGTTTACATGTAAATACGTTTTAAGTTGATGTTGTGCATTGACTCTGGTGATTAACTGAAGATAAGCTGCATTATGGTGTTGACTGAATGCAGGGGCTCAGAATTAGTAGAGATTTTTTTTTTTTTTTTTTTTTTTTTTTTTTTTTTTTTGCTTGTGCTGATACCTCCTCCATCCAGCCCTTTTAGATATAGATTTCTGTGGGGAGAAAAGGAATGTTGGAGTTTGAGACGGTTGGGGTGTAGAATTTGGAATACCTATATCTCCAAAAACAATCCTTCAGAAAATTGTGCCTTTTCCGAGCTGTGTCCTATGATGGGATAATAAAGACATTCACGAATAAAAGCTCAGTGTTCCGTGAGTCAGACGGGTAGTTTGTAAATGGTACTAAATACCAAACATTTCTTTTTTTAAAAAATTTTTGTAAAAACAAATATTTTTTCCTACTTCTTAAATGCCACAGCAAAGAAAATACCACACTCTTCACGGGTAAAAGAAAAATTTTTTGGATTTTCACTCTTGTTGACTCCTCCTTGAGAGGTTTTGTTTACCAATAATTTTTTATGAATTTTGCTTTTTTTCTCGACAGTGTTGTTCCCCCTTCGAGGTCTCGCTATGACTACGAAACTTATCCTGCGTCTACTCCTGCATCACCCCGAAAAATACAAAGCAGAGTTGGGTTCGTGTTCTCTCGTACCCCCCAACCCTCGGACCTGTTGCCGAGAAGGGGCCCGTGCCCTTAAACGAACGGTGGGGTTCTCCAGGGGCCCTGTTCCCGCGGCTGGTGTATTACAGAGCTTAAATCTTTGGGAAACTTTAACATGCATAATAAGATAAAAACTTTCTTTCTTATCCCATCATGATGCAACAAAATAATAAACCCTTTACCAAAATCAAGCGTAAGAGGTGACCACACGTTTTTCCCAAAAACGACCCTAAACATCTTGGTGTGAATATGTAAAAAGTTTTTAATAATTATACATAAATCTTATATATTATTATATTAATATATTTATATATATATAAAAAATTAATTTAATTATATATTATAATATATATATATATATGGTTTGTATCAATTTATTTTTTGCGCTATCTTTAAAATATTTTAATAATTTCCAATTAAAAAATTTATAAAAATTTTTTTCCCTTTAAAAATTTAAATTCTTTAAATTCACCGGACATCAAAAGTTCGTGGGTAACATTAAAAGAGAAAAAACAAAAATTCAGTTACATTAAATTTTGGGAAAAAATTTGCGTTATGCAGTTCTTTACCAAGTCACAAGACTTAAATTTGAACAGAAAGGGGTAATGTGTACAGAGACCCTGAAGTAGATGAAGAGTCATGAATGACGGCATATAAGCCTTTTCACAACATTTTAGAAATTTGAAAAGTTAAAACTCAGCAAGAGCTGCTACTTTTTTATATAAGGGGAAAAAAAAATTAGTTATTTTCCCAATTATAACCATCTTAGTGGACGGATTATTACAATTTGGAATGTCAAATTCAGCTGAGAGACTTCAGTGGGGCAATGTGGATTCTTAAGTATGTCTTTTAAAGTTTACCGGGTCGTTTCGACTTCATTTTCTTTTAGCCGACAATCTCCACTCTCAGATAGCCTGAACCATGCACGGGAGAAATGTATTTTTTTAAAGATACCTCCAAATCACAGAGTAAGGCAAATAAAAAATAAAAGGAGATATAAATTATAAATATATAAAAATATATATATATATATATATTAATATATATAATTATTAAATATATATTATTTAAAGGGGAGGGGGTGTTAATTGTTGCATTTTTAAAAACTGTAGTGTAAAGCACCCTTCTGGCAAGACAGGTGGAGGAATGAGGTAAAATTTTTTCTTTTTCGGGCCACCCTGCCTTGGGGGAATCGGCCGTGTGAAAATAAAAAATTTAATAATAAATTTTTTAAATATATAATATATATTTTTTAAAATATATATATATTATATAATATTTTATATATTTATAAAATTGAAATTTTTTAATAAACAAAATACTTTTACAGAAAAAAACAAAAACATGAATAAAGGGCAAAATTTTCAAAATCTGAATTTCCTCCAGCTCCTCCGAGGTGGACGTGAGCCAAGTATGAGAAGCTTTTCCCCCTTTGGATCGACGCTGAGGCGTGGAACATGAAAGTGGCTCCCCCTTTTGGGGTCCCTGGTGGTGTCGATGAGTCGGAACCCTATTCTTTAAAAAAACGTGTGGCTTTTTTCCCCTGTCCCAAGGTTCTGCCCCCACTGGGAAAAATTTGATCTGTTGGCTTATGCCCTTATTTGCGATTTTGTACTCCCGTGGTCAGCAGCTCCCCCTGTCGCCCCAACTGTGTGGATATGGGTGTCACCCGTGTGGACAAAGGTATGCCCCATGCTAAGGCTTGCCATTCTTCCAAGGATAGATGGTGTCCCGTCGGGGCGTTTGCGGGTTGGGGGGTATTGTTTGCTGAAAGGGGTTCGTGGCTCCCCTCGGCGGGGCTCCAGCTGTAGAAAGGGTTCCTTAATGAGTCGTTGACCTCTTTTTTTTTTTGCTGCAGCCCTTGGGTTTTGGAACAGTTAAGCCATGTAGACCGATTGGTCGCTTGCACTTCGCCGAAAAATACACATAATTCTGTGTAAAATTGGGGGCAGCAAGGGAGACCCTGCAATACGGAGGGTCTTAGGTCGGTCGCGTTCCCATTCCCGAAGGGAACTGTTTGGGGGAAATCCCGAGGAGGTGCATCAAGCCGGGAAGACGGGAAAATTCCCCCTATTGATGTTGCACCCCTAGCATGTTGGCAAGACCTTTTCAAATTTTGGGCCCACCCAGTTTGACTTTTTGTGACCCAGTGCTGCACTGGGTTTGGGTGTGGAGCAGCAAAGTCTCCCATTGGGTGATGGCACGGCAAGTTTAGG